TTTTACATCTTTCAATGTTTGTTTTTTTTTTTATAAGAAAATTTCAATTAAGTATTTAAATTGTTATAAAATTTCTTATTTTGTTTATACAGGGTGTCAGATAAAAAACGCCCCAAGCTGTAACTCTGTCATTTACATTCCGATTTTCATGAACGAGTTATCAAATGAAATGGTTTGATGAATACTACGATTCATGCTACAAATAAATTTTTTCCAACGCCATCTTCAATTATATTTTCTTCTTTCGTATCATTGAAAGTTTCTTTCATCGCGTCATTGGATAGAGTTTGTTTTTCTGAATCCCTTAATGTACAATATATCAACATTAATTATAACTGTAGTAGAGAAAAATATTAAAATAGTATCCGAACATTCTCTTAAAGTCACTTGTGTTATACTGTAGTGTGCCATGGGAAAAAATAATCATTTACAACTGCTTCAGGCATTGAAAACGATATTTCAATCAACTGTTATCAGTTTGGCGCGCTATTTTTTTCCATGGCACACTACAGTATTACAAAAGTGACTAAGCCAATGTCCGGAAAATGTTTTAATTGTTTTCCTCTGCTAAAATTACAATTAATGTTAATGTCTTATACAGCAATGGGTCCGGAAAAACAATCTCTATCTAATGGCGTTAAGAAAAATATATGGAGCAATTTGAAAAACAAAAGCTTATAATCGCTTAAAATTGAAGATGGCCTTGAAAAAAAATTATTTGTAGCATGAATCATAGTATTCATCAAACCATTTCATTTGATACCTCGCTCATGAAAATCGGAATGTAAATGACAGAGTTACAGCTTGGGGCGTTTTTTATCTGACACCCTGTATAAACATAAAATAGCACTGAATAATAAGTAAAACTAGAACTAACACTAGACCTAGAACTAGAAAGTTTCGGGTTTAGCCGTGCGTCTTCAGACTAGTTCACTAGAATCAACACTAGACACAACCCAACCCAAGCCGAATGATTCTAGTTCTAGGTCTAGTGTTAGTTCTAGTGCCAGTGTTAGGTAGTGCTTGTTAGCACTAGATATCGCTATGTTGTAAACTTTTATTGAACTAAAACTAGAACTAACACTAGACCAAGAACTAGAAACATTCAGATATAGCCGCACGTCTGTCAAGACGGCTAAACCCGAACGATTCTAGTTCTAGGTCTATTGTTAGTTCTAGTTTCAGTTCAATAAAAAAATACAACAATCTAGCATTGAATAACAACTATAACTAGAAAGAACACTAGCATTAGAATCATCACTAGACCTAGAACTGGAAACATTCGGGTTTAGACGGCTAAACCCGAATGTTTCTAGTTCTAGGTCTAGTGTTAGTTCTACTTTTACTTCAATAAAAGTATACAACAGAACGATATCTAGTGCTAACAAGCACTACCTAACACTGGCACTAGAACTAACATTAGACTTAGAACTAGAATCATTCGGATTTAGCCGCACGTCTCTCAAGACGTATCATTGTCTTCTTAAATAAGGTGAATGTGCCAAAGCTCTCATGCATTTCTGATTTCGTTGCACAATCCAGGTACTCATCAAAACAAGAATGATCATTACAGGTAACATCACTATTAGGATAAAATGATGAACTTATTTTTAATTTATCTTTTTTCCCAATTTTAAATTGATTTATATCATAATTTTGAAATTAGCCCTCTAAAATATAGAATTTTTTCATTTGACGTGTGAGTAAAAGAAAATTCGAGGACAAGATGATTGATAAACATCTTTCGGGTTTAGCTGTGCGTCTTCAGACTAGTTCACTAGAATCAACACTAGACACAACCCAACCCAACCCAACCCGAATGATTCTAGTTCAAGATCTTGTGTTAGTTCTAGTAACAGTGTTGGGTAGTGCTTGTTAGCACTAGATATCGCTCTGTTGTAAACTTTTATTGAACTAAAACTAGAACTAACACTTAAACTAACACTAGACCGAGAACTAGAAACATTCGGATTTAGCCGCACGTCTGTCAAGACGGCTAAACCCGAACGATTCTAGTTCTAGGTCTATTGTTAGTTCTAGTTTTAGTTCAATAAACAAATACAACAATCTAGCACTGAATAGCAACTATAACTAGAGCGAACACTAGCATTAAAACTATCACTAGACCTAGAACTAGAAACATTTGGGTTTAGCCGCTCGTCTCTCAAAACGGCTAAACCCGAATGTTTCTAGTTCTAGGTCTAGTGTTAGTTCTACTTTTAGTTCAATAAAAGTATACAACAGAGCGATATCTAATGCTAACAAGCACTACCTAACACTGGCACTACAACTAACACTAGACCTAGAACTAGAATCATTCGGATTTAGCCGCACGTCTGTCAAGACGGCTAAACCCGAACGATTCTAGTTCTAGGTCTATTGTTAGTTCTAGTTTCAGTTCAATAAAAAAATACAACAATCTAGCATTGAATAACAACTATAACTAGAAAGAACACTAGCATTAGAACCATCACTAGACCTAGAACTGGAAACATTTCGGTTTAGCCGCACGTCTTTCAAGATGGCTAAACCCGAATGTTTCTAGTTCTAGGTCTGGTGTTAGTTCTACTTTTAGTTCAGTGAAAGTATACAACAGAGCGATATCTAGTGCTAACAAGCACTACCTAACACCTGCACTAGAACTAACACTAGACCTAGAACTAGAATCATTCGGATTTAGCCGCACGTCTCTCAAGACGGCTAATCCCGAATTAGTCTAGTTGTAGGTCTTGTGTTAGTTCTAGTTTTAGTTAAATGAAAAAATGCAGCAATCTAGCACTGAATAACAACTAAAACTAGAACTAACACTAGACCTACAACTAGAAACATTCGAATTTAGCCGTAAGTCTCTTAAGACGGCTACACCCGAATATTTCTAGTTCTAGGACTAGTGTTAGTTCTACTTTTTGTTCAATGATCTCGAAACATTTTACAGATTTTGTGCAGTCAACTAGAAACATTCGGGTTTAGCCGTGCGTCTTCAAACGCAGGACCTCCTCTTAGGACCTTATCTGATAAGGAATTACTAAATTCAATAGAGAATTGTTTTAAAAATGAGGATAAATGTGATAGTATAAGATATAATATAAGATAATATAAGAGATAGTGAGGACATTGTTACTATGAATATTCAAAATATACCAGTATTGTTTTAAGTTGAGATAGAAGATATAGAAAACGAAGTTGAAGAAATAGATATCACAGATTTATAGACGAAGGATATAATATATATCTAATATAATACCCTCTAATATTATACGCAACCTCATCTTCTTTATCTTACCACATATCTTATATTTTCACATATCCACATTTCTTATTTGGTCTCTTCTAATCTTATATAAGAAAGAAGATAAAAACTTCTTACTTGCTATAATTTTAATTTAAACGGAATTAGTTCGAGTTACAAGCTCATCCTCAGCCGAATTGTCAAAATCGTTACTAAATCAGGAAAATCATTACTTGAACATTTGCAAAATCCTTACACTAAATGAATAAATTATTTACTATTTATAATAAATAGCAACAGAACGCACGATTAACAAAAGTTAAAATTTTTTATAAAATGACAAGTTGAAAGAAAAGCAAATGGCCCGAAGAAAACATTTTCTAAAATAAAATAATTTATTCACTTAGTGTAAGGGTTTTGCAAATGTTCAAGTAATGATTTTTGTGATTTAATAGCGATTTTGACAATTCGGCTGAGGATGAGCTTGTAGCTCGAAACTAGTTCCGTTTAAATTAAAATTATAGCAAGTAAGACAACATGGATCCAATTAATTCTTCTAATCTTGCCCAAGATATTTCGCAACGTTCTCATTTCGGCAACTCTTTGCATTCCTTTAATTTTACTCGTATCTTCGCGTGACTCTATTCCATATGTCAAATTCTTATCTTGCTGTCAATTCGAATTAATTTGACTGAACAATATCTCTTAAGCATTCTGATAGAGTTGCGTTGTCTGATCTGGTTTCTTAACTTTTTTGCTATGTCTTGCTAAGACCTGACTGACTTCTTCTACCACAAGTTTGCATTTAAATGATTCTTTGGCGATTATCATGACTTGATAACATTTCAAAAGCTGTCTTTGCAAATCATTTTCTTTTTCTGCTATGATTACTATGATTAGTGGCTTTATTATTGCTTATTCTGCACCCCAAATTCAACGACAGCATCTCTTGTATAATTTTAGATTACCTTTTTCGCAACATGACAGTTAGCGCTGTCGCCCTGAAAGTAAGATAGGTTTGCACCATAAAACTGCCATAACGTAAGAAGTATATTGTCTCATAAATCTAATCCATACCAATTCTAGTTCAGCCGAAGTTTACTGTTGGCATAATGCATTCTGGAAGGAGATCTTCTCCAAGTAGACGATATCTAAACGGTACCGAGCCTTGATTGTGATCTACGATCCATTGTCGACTTGTTTTCTAAAACATTAATTGAGCAGCTTGGCTAGACTTAATGGTCAAATTCCTGTCAGCGGTAACGCGACCATCAAAACCAAGCAAATGTGTTTCCTTATGTAAAGTATTTATCAGAACAACATTCCCAGATTGAGTGCTTTAAAATTAATCTGCACACCTCTCTCCGGTCTCTCCCAACTTTGTGGGTCTGTCAACTCGGACTTCCGAATAACATAGGGCACTGTTGATTTTAGGAATCATTTTCGAAATCAGATAATTTTGTACTACGTTTCATTTTGCATGCAAATAAAGCCAATGATGTTTACTATATAATATTAAACAACGGAGACATTTAATTTTGCTTTGTAGAATAACGGTTTATAACCAGTAGAGTGTTAATTAACAAACACATCACACCGTGATGCTGTATGGATATGAAGTCAGTGGTTTTTGTTTTCAGTTTTTGAGCTCATTCTCATTACACTAGAAAATCATAAAATAATTGGTTCAACTAAATAAATTAATTATTCCCAGAAAAATAGAGGTGAGATAATGTTTTAAGAAAAAACATAATGAAACTACCATTAATGCTAAAATTGATTTATTAAATAAATTAATTATCAATGTTTTGAAATTTCTTTACACGGATTATTGATAAATTTGTACGAAAGAACTGCTATAAGTCGGTGTATAATAAGAAGTAGCTAAAGCAGCTTGACCAAATTGCGCTACTTGGGCAATCGGAACAGTTTGTAAATTAGCCAATATTTTCGTTTCTGGAACAGCAACTAAAGGAGCTGATTGTTGAACGGTATAAACCAACTTTTCGGGTTGTGGAACAATCAAAAACACCGGATTTTGTGGTTTAGGTTCTTCCAACTTTTCGGATTTCGCTTTTGGCACTTCTTCCACCTTCAAAAATCAAAATAACCCAACTCGTCATCTCTCAATATCTTTTTGTGTACTTACCAATTTAGCTGGAGTTTGAGTTGTAGCAACATCATCAGCGATGGTTGTAGTTTCAACATTTTTCGCATCAGGTTCTGGTGGTCCATATTCTACTTTAGGTGGTAAATAATTTTGTTGTTGCTGTTGTTGTTGAGGTGCTCCATAAGTAATTTGGGGCGATTCATAATTTTGTTGTTGTTGTTGTTGTTGAGGTGCTCCATAAGTTTCATAATTTTGTTGTCTTTGGGGTAAATCAAAAGATGGACCAGATGGTCTCCATCCACGTGGGTTATAAGGAGCTGATTGTTGTTGTTGGTATCCAAATCGAGGAGGTTCCGCAGAAACAGCAGCAATTATTGCGAAGATAATGATGAACTAAAAAATATTTTGCTCCAAACATTGTTTAGTGTTATATAAAAATTTCTTACCTTCATTTTTGTTTGTGTCAACACTTAAACTGATAACATAACACTCGGGCGGTCGCTTTATATACTCGATTTCAATCGTTTTAAACGTGACTGGATTTCTATATAACTAAAGACTAATTTTGTTTTCATTTGCTTCTTAACATTCCGACCTCAAAGCAATTGACAATGACCTGAATTATTGCATTAAATTATCCAATTACATCGATTAATACAAAATTTCGTTATTTTCTAAGTATTTACATCCGGAAATTGTATTCAACACAAAAGCACCGATGTTATTCTTGTACGATTTGGGTAATTCCGTTCGACATTTCTATTAGGTAGTAGCAAAAACGGTTTTTCGTCGTCTTTGTCGGCTCCTTTTGTAAAGATTACTTGCGGTGGCTAAGGGTAGCGGTTAGTTATTTTGAAAATTATACCTAGTTTTCGAATCTGGGACCGTTAATCCCTTTTTTTCTTTCCGGATTCCGGGTGGGTTTATTTGTCGAATTTCTCAAGGGATAACATGATGGGTTTATTATATTAAATGGTGACAAATGGGAATATAAGGAAGTCTTTTTTACAAAGTGTTTTAAAATCGCGTTGAAGAGTTTAGAAACTTGAAACAAAACAAAGAAGACCAGATGAGACGTGACGCAAATATCCAGTTAACCAACCCCCATCAAAACCCTACACCACCACCCTCTCGCCCCCCGTTTGGGGACGAAGCTACGCTTTGGAGAGCTAACGGGGTTGCTCGGAACATTTAACGTTTCTCCACCTCGGCATAAATATCACGTTAAATATTTACACCGCGCGATAAACAGACACGTCGGCGGCAGTTTTTTCCCCTCCGCACCCTCCGAGGGGAAGCCCTCCTAAAACGCGGGCCGTTCACTCACACATCCACACCACTACATAGACGAGGCCCCGTTCTATCTGATACATGTATCTCCGGCCGGCAGCAGCAGCGGCAGCCCTCTTTTGTCCCGATATTGAAATGGAATCGTTTGAGTGTGAATAATTTGCTTTGGTACCCTGCCCCTCGAGCCCTGGCCCCCGGACCCTCTCTCGCATTGCTGACAACTTATTAGCGAAGAGTTCCATAGCCCTGGCATCAGGAGGGAGGAGGTTTGGTCGGGCCCCGGAACACACCGTATACGAGAACACAATCCGAGACCGTATATAGAGAGAAGAGGATCACGAAGCATCCATCCATTTAGTACTAAGAATAGATTGTTTGGAACGTTTAATATACAACGAAACTTATGGTACCCTATTTAGGTCGTGTACAGTTTTTGAATATTTAATGCAATGAGGAAAGAAAATGTTGTTCTTAAAAAATTTACTTTAATGTCATTTTGCTAAAACTATACTAAAATATCGTCTTATTGTCGGAAGCTAAAGATAACATGAACTCAACAATCTCGAAGTCAAAAACGAAATCCTTAATAATAGCAAGGGAGCCACGTTGTTGGTCTTGGTGTCAACATTATAAGCAGCAAGAACCTCTAAGAAGAAGTTATAACGCAAACAACGAAAGAAAAGCTTTGATACCAGGTTACCTCGACAACGGTAAAGCCTAGAGGTTTGGGAAAAAAATCCTTATAGCCCTTAGTCACCTTAAAATTTGCAAAATTTTAGTGAAAACCGCATCTCGATATCGCTACCCGTTCTCGAATTATAGAAGAAAATGTTAAAAACTCGAGTGCCATCAATCGGGTCTAGTTACCTCATCAAGAAAAACAAATCACGTAACCATGGTAACTGTAAACATGTTATTTACTAACGCAGAAGCGTATGATAGAGCGTATGATGATTTATTTATGTTTCGAATACGATGCCATGGCAAAAATGTGCAATGCAATTACGACAAAGAAAGACATTTTTCTTTTCACATAATCTGGGAACTCCGAAAATAACTGTCCAAACAAGATTCCTCAAGAGAATAATATCTCCACCACATTGTTTTACATCAGGCATTAACAGATATCGATTATGATAACAGATTATCATTGACTTATAAATATGATTTGGGCAAATCCAAACCTTTTGCCACAAATGCTATGGATGCATGAAACATATCTCCACAAGCTGGTGTAAACTTGCATAATATGCATTCATGGTTCGAGCAAAACCCACATTGTTTTCACCCATTTATCTAAATTATTTTATTATTGGGTAGACTAAACAACCTGGCTTTTCAAGAAAGACCAATAACCAGGGAAAATATGACAAAATACTAAATGCCAGTAGAAACGTGTCCAGGGCCGAGACCTAAACAGTGTTTTTTTAGGTTTATGGAAGCCATTTCGAACATTAGTGAGCGATTTTTGCCAAAAATTTAAGTAATTCTAAGTGTTTTGGTTTATTTTGTTTTATTATCATTGTTGATGTTTCATTGATCCGTTGGTTTTTAAACACGCCTCGAAAGTAGTTTTGAAGCAGTTCTAAGCTTGGATAAAGTGTGAAGGAAGGGTCTAGGTAATAACATTTTTGTGCTCTCTTATTTGTTTCCTAAGGTCCAATTAAGATATAGGAATTTTTAACATTTTCTTCTATAATTCGAGAATGGATGAAGATATCGAGATGCGAAAATATCTTTTAAAAGAGCATAAAATGCTCTTTCAAACAAGACCAAAAATATTCAAATCGGTTGAATGGTCCAGGAGATATTAAAATGTAAACATTTGAAAACGCATTGGCCTCCCCTTCCCTTGTTATGACAGATATGAGAAATATTGCAAAACAAAAGCGATGCGGTATTATCCAAGCTACTAAATGATGTTGTCAAAGTTATAGCTCATCGTCTAACTTTCTGAGATAGCGGGAATTTTATGTTTCTCAATGGCAGTTACACCCCGTAGCGGTCGAATTACGAACTTCAAAATAATTTTCAGCTGTTTCTCTTGCCCACTTTGCTTATAAGGATTTTTTTCCCAAACCTATAGGCCTTACCGTTGTCGAGATATAACCGCTCCGTAGCCTTAACTGGACATCCTGTATATATTCCTAGATAGTAAGGTCCACAAATATAAGATCTGTTATGAACTAGACGATAGAGGCAGAAAATGCTACCACAAAAAGAATCCTCAGAATAGCAATATAGGAATATAGGAATATAGGTGCGCAAAAGAAGACGAGAATGGCAAGACCATGTTGAACTACCAAAAATAGTGAAAAAAATAAAGGCCAAATAGATTCCTCGGAACACCTCCAATGCCTTAGTATGAAAGCTGGAAAAATCGATATTCGGAGCATGATACAAAAAAACTTTTACAACAAAAGTTGTAGCAAATTGTACCCTTAACACAATTTTTGCTCCCAGATGCATCAATGTTGAGAATTTTTCAAAAATATGAACATTAGAAGAGTGTTAAAAAAAATTGGTACTCGGAGCATGACACAGAAAAACTTTTACAACAAAAGTTGTAACAAATTGTACCCCTAACACAATGCTCTATATCATTTTTGCTCCCAGATGCATCAATGTAGAGAATTTTTCAAAAATATGAAAATTAGAAGAGTGTTAAAAGAATCGGTATTCGGAGTATGATAGAGATAAATTTTTACAACAAAAGTTGTAGCAAATCAGTCAGAGGCTAAAGATAACATGAACAATTCGAAATCCTTAACAATAGCAAGGGAGCCACTTTGTTGGTCTTAGCGTCAATATTATAAGCAGCAAGAACCTCTAAGAAGAAGTTATAACGCAAACAACGAAAGGAAAACTTTGATGCCAGATTACCTCGACAACGGTAAAGCCTAGAGGTTTGGGAAAAAAATCCTTATAGCCCTTAGTCACCTTAAAATTTGCAAAATTTTAGTGAAAACCGCATCTCGATATCACTACACGTTCTCGAATTATAGAAGAAAATGTTAAAAACTCGAGTCCCATCAATCGGGTCTAGTTACCTCATCAAGAAAAACAAATCACGTAACCATGGTAACTGTAAACATGTTATTTACTAACGCAGAAGCGTATGATAGAGCGTATGATGATTTATTTTCAATGTTTCGAATACGATGCCATGGCAAAAATGTGCAATGCAATTACGACAAAGAAAGACATCTTTCTTTTCACATAATCTGGGAACTCCGAAAACAACTGTCCAAACAAGATTCCTCAAGAGAATAATATCTCCACCACATTGTTTTATATCAGGCATTAACAGATACCGATTATGATAACAGATTATCATTGACTTATAAATATGATTTGGGCAAATCCAAACCTTTTACCACAAATGCTATGGATGCATGAAGCATCTCTCCACAAGCTGGTGTAAACTTGCATAATATGCATTCTTGGTTCGAGCAAAACCCACATTGTTTTCACCCCTTTATCTAAATTATTTTATTATTGGGTAGACTAAACAACCTGACTTTTCAAAAAAAAACAATAACCAGGGAAAATATGACAAAATACTAAATGCCAGTAGAAACATGTCCAGGGCCGAGACCTAAACAGTGTTTTTTTAGGTTTATGGAAGGCATTTCGAACATTAGTGAGCTATTTTTGCCAAAAATTTAAGTAATTCTAAGTGTTTTGGTTTATTTTGTTTTATTATCATTGTTGATGTTTCATTGATCCGTTGGCTTTTAAACACGCCTCAAAAGTAGTTTTGAAGCAGTTCTAAGCTTGGATAAAGTGTGAAGGAAGGGTCTAGGTAATAACATTTTTGTGCTCTCTTATTTGTTTCCTAAGGTAACTTGATCCGATTAAGATATACGAATTTTTAACATTTTCTTCTATAATTCGAGAATGGATGAAGATATCGAGATGCGAAAATATCTTTTAAATAAGCATGAAATGCCGCACGTCTCTCAAAACGGCTAAACCCGAATGATTCTAGTTCTAGGTATAGTGTTAGTTTTAGTTTTATACTTGCACTGTCACTAGAACTAACACAAGACCTAGAACTAGAATCATTTGGGTTTAGCCGTCTTTAGAGACGTGCGGCTGTTAATTCTAGTGACAGTGCAAGTGTAAAACTAGAACTAACACTATACCAAGAACTAGAATCATTTGGGTTTAGCCGCACGTCTCTAAAG